ATTTGGGGTGTATTTGGGGCTCCTGTCAGTTAAAGTGCCTGTGACACATTTATGATTCTCAAATTTATTTTGGAGGAATTATAACTATTGTAAATATACATTTACTTTACTCCAATCAAGAAGCTTTTTATGAAAATGAGCTGGAAAAGAAGTAAATTAGAGGAAGTAGAGTTTAAACATGTTGATGACTCTTTACATAAGAAACACATTTTATCTTTTAAAGATACTTTAAACATGATGTCAGCAAAATAAAAGTGTTTTATTCGTATTTGTATAATAATAATGTCTGTGAACATTAGAGGAGTTTCACTCGTGTGAATTTTTAACCAGGAAGTAAAGTTTTTAAAGCTAAAAACAGGACGTGATCCTGAGTGACTGTTATTACAAAAGTCTTTAATAAAATGATCTTTGCTGTGTTTTAGTGAAATGAGTCTAACCTGTCACAGGTGTTTTAAATGCCACTTTTCCACAAACTGACATTTTACAGTTTGGTTTTATAAAAATGAGGAAACTACTTTTGGCTCACGGCCTGTGCTGACCTCTGCTCTGAGTGGGTTGATTTTGATACAAAGGAAAAGACTCGATGCTCAATAATGATTCTCTTTCTTTAGACAATCTCCTGTGATTTCCACATTAAATGGCAGAACTTTCTTTTCTATTCCCATCATGATTTTATATTTGTGTGATCCCTCAGTGCTCCATGTAGATTTATATCTGGGAGATGTACGGTTCATATCTCTGTAATTCCTGGGCCTGTTCACGTGAAACAAAAACTGGTGCAAAGTTCAAGTTCTTCTTTGTCAACACAAATGAACTAAAGTGATTTTATTCCCCACTACAGCCTCGAAAACATTCATACAGTTAAAGGAGTAAAGTGTGACGGGGAAGAGGTGGAGTCTGGAGGTTTAACGAACACTGCACTGCAAAAAAGCTTGGCCAAAATTTAGGATATAAACACTTAAATCTATCAGAAAATTACTCGAAATGATGTGTCCATGCAGCGAGATCATTTTACTTGACAAGTTCTCTTAAAATAAATGACCTCTAGATTGGACTGAACAATCTGTCGTTTTGGAGAGAAAATCGTGATCTCAGAGAGCACAATTTTGGGAGCATCAGAGTTCTCCTAAAGCCCAATTTAAGGGCAAAGTTTAGTTTTGCGTCGACTCTTTGCACTGTGCCGCTGTCGCCTTGTCGTTGTCGTTTTTTGATTTATGGATCTGTGTCGAGGTCTGTGTGCCATCAAATAATTCACTGCCCAAACACAGAGGCAAGGACACGACAGAAACACAGAACAGACTCACCATCAGCAGAACACCCCTCTGTCGCAGAGAGAGAACACCCCTCTGTCACAGAGAGAACACCCCTCTGTCACAGAGAGAACACCCTCTGTCACACAGAGAGAACACCCCTCTGTCACAGAGAGAACACCCCTCTGTCGCAGAGAACACCCCTCTGCAAGAGAACACCCTCTGTCACAGAGAGAACACCTCGAGAGAACACCCCTCTGTCGCAGAGAGAACACCCCTCTGACACAGAGAGACACCCTCTGACACAGAGAAACACCCTCTGTCGCAGAGAGAACACCCCTCTGACACAGAGAGAACACCCCTCTGACACAGAGAGAACACCCCTCTGTGCAGAGAGAACACCCCTCTGTCACACAGAGAGAACACCCCTCTGAACACACACAGAGAGAACACCCCTCTGACACACAGAGAGAACACCCCTCTGTCGACAGAGAGAGAACACCCCTCTGTCACACAGAGAGAACACACCCTCTGTCACACAGAGAGAACACCCCTCTGTCACAGAGAGAACACCCCTCTGTCACAGAGAGAACACCCCTCTGTCCACAGAGAGAACACCCCTCTGTCACAAGAGAACACCCTCTGTGAGAGAACACCCCTCTGTCGAGAGAACACCCCTCTGACAGAGAGAACACCCCTCTGTCACACAGAGAGAACACCCCTCTGACACACAGAGAGAACACCCCTCTGTCACACAGAGAGAGAACACCCCTCTGACACACAGAGAGAACACCCCTCTGTCACACAGAGAGAACACCCCTCTGTCACAGAGAGAACACCCCTCTGACACACAGAGAGAACACCCTCTGACACAGAGAGAACACCTCTGTCACAGAGAACACCCCTCTGACACAGAGAAACACCCCTCTGTCAGAGAGAACACCCCTCTGTCGCAGAGAGAAACACCCCTCTGTCCAGAGAGAACACCCCTCTGTCACACAGAGAGAACACCCCTCTGACACAGAGAGAACACCCCTCTGTCACACAGAGAGAACACCCCTCTGACACAGAGAGAACACCCCTCTGACACAGAGAGAACACCCCTCTGACAACAGAGAGAACACCCCTCTGTCACAGAGAGAACACCCCTCTGACACAGAGAGAACACCCCTCTGTCACACAGAGAGAACACCCCTCTGACACACAGAGAGAACACCCTCTGACACAGAGAGAACACCCCTCTGACACAGAGAGAACACCCCTCTGTCACACAGAGAGAACCCCTCTGTCACACAGAGAGAACACCCCTCTGTCACAGAGAGAACACCCCTCTGACACAGAGAGAACACCCCTCTGTCACAGAGAGAACACCCCTCTGTCACACAGAGAGAACACCCCTCTGTCACACAGAGAGAACACCCCTCTGACACAGGGAGAACACCCCTCTGTCACACAGAGAGAACACCCCTCTGACACAGAGAGAACACCCCTCTGACACAGCAGAGAGAACACCCCTCTGTCACACAGAGAGAACACCCCTCTGTCACAGAGAGAGAACACCCCTCTGTCACACAGAGAGAACACCCCTCTGACACAGAGAGAACACCCCTCTGTCACACAGAGAGAAACCCCTCTGTCACACAGAGAGAACACCCCTCTGACACAGAGAGAACACCCCTCTGACACACAGAGAGAACACCCCTCTGTCACAGAGAGAACACCCCTCTGACACAGAGAGAACACCCTCTGACACAGAGAGAACACCCCTCTGTCACACAGAGAGAACACCCCTCTCACAGAGAGAACACCCCTCTGACACAGAGAGAACACCCCTCTGTCACACACAGAGAAACACCCCTCTGTCACAGAGAGAACACCCCTCTGACACAGAGAGAAACACCCCTCTGTCACAGAGAGAACACCCTCTGTCACACAGAGAGAGAACACCCCTCTGTCACAGAGAGAACACCCCTCTGACACAGAGAGAACACCCCTCTGTCACACAGAGAGAACACCCCTCTGACACAGGAGAGAACACCCTCTGACACAGAGAGAACACCCCTCTGTCACACAGAGAGAACACCCCTCTGACACAGAGAGAACACACCCCTCTGACACAGAGAGAACACCCCTCTGTCACAGAGAGAACACCCCTCTGACACAGAGAGAACACCCCTCTGTCACAGAGAGAGAACACACCCCTCTGACACAGAGAGAACACCCCTCTGACACAGAGAGAACACCCTCTGACACACAGAGAGAACACCCCCTCTGTCACACAGAGAGAGAACACCCCTCTGTACACACAGAGAGAACACCCCTCTGTCGCAGAGAGAACACCCCTCTGACACAGAGAGAACACCCCTCTGACACAGAACACCCTCTGACACAGAGAGAACACCCCTCTGTCACACAGAGAGAACACCCCTCTGACACAGAGAGAGAACACCCCTCTGTCACAGAGAGAACACCCCTCTTGACACAGAGAGAACACCCCTCTGTCACACAGAGAGAACACCCCTCTGTCACAGAGAACACCCTCTGTCACAGAGAGAACACCCCTCTGACACACAGAGAGAACACCCCTCTGTCAAGGAGAACACCCTCTGTCACAGAGAGAACACCCCTCTGTCACACAGAGAGAGACACCCTCTGTCACAGAGAGAAACCCCTCTGTCACAGAGAGAACACCCTCTGACACAGAGAAGAACACCCCTCTGACACACAGAGAGAACACCCCTCTGTCACAGAGAGAACACCCCTCTGTCACACAGAGAGAGAACACCCCTCTGTCGCAGAGAGAACACCCCTCTGACACAGAGAGAACACCCCTCTGTCACACAGAGAGAACACCCCTCTGTCACACAGAGAGAACACCCCTCTGTCGCAGAGAGAACACCCCTCTGTCACACAGAGAGAACACCCCTCTGTCACAGGAGAGAACACCCCTCTGTCACAGAGAGACACAACACCCCTCTGTCACAGAGAGAACACCCCTCTGTCACAGAGAGAACACCCCTCTGACACAGGGAGAACACCCCTCTGTCGCAGGGAGAACACCCCTCTGTCGCAGAGAGAACACCCCTCTGTCGCAGGGAGAACACCCCTCTGTCGCAGGGAGAACACCCCTCTGTCACAGGGAGAACACCCCTCTGTCACAGGGAGAACACTCATATTCCACTGAGTCTCTGTGTCTTTAGTCCAACACAAACTGAACCACATCAGACATAAGAAACAACTGTTTTTATCACACACATTAGTTTATGCAAATGAGTCATGTGATTTAAGTTTAGTTTGTATAAAATATAATCAAATGTGTCAAATCTGAATTAAACTCATTATTCCTCAGTGTGTTGACAGAACGGAAAGTGGAGAACAGGAAATGTTTGTAGAGACGACCAATCGCAGCTGTTAACGTCTGTTAACGTGTAAACTGGGCTTCACCGTCCAGCGTCAAATCATCAGTGCAGGAGTCTGGTGTGATGTGAGTTTCTGTGATGTTTGCATGTTTTTTATTTTTTTATTTTATGTATTTATTTTGGGCAAGTAAAGATTTACGTTCTTATACAATGGAACATATAACACAGGTGAACTCATAATAGAAATGAAAATATCCACAACAAAAAAAAAGGTTTTGCCCAAAAAGGAGTGGGAAGAAGAAAATGTATTTAATCCCGCCCCCGCTCGTCATGTGCACTGAAACGTGATTAGAAAAAAAAAATATGGATGAAATTGAAATTGCATAATCTGCCAGAAAAATCGCAATTAATAAAAAAAAAAAAAATGTTCAGCCGTATTTCTAGACCAGAATGAAGCAGCTCAGAACTAGTAACTAGAAAATAAATCTGAAAACAAGATGAAATAACCTGATATTTGTTTTAAGATCAGAGAAATTTGCAGAGTGTGATTTGTCCAACAGGTGTCACACGTCAAACTCTGCGTCATGTTCAATGTCACTGACGACAGCACGAACTCAGCTTTGACCAGAAACTACAAATGTTCCACAGTTTGCACTAGAGACGGGCATTTGATGAAATGTTCTTAATCAATCGTCGGGAGAATTAACGATTGATTATCGATTAATCATTAATGTTTTTCTATTAAAATGATCATCATTATTATTTCTATCTGCACTAATCTGCATCAATAAATTCAACTTTACGACATATAAACATAACGACTCTAGATCCACATCAGCTGTTTGACATTATAATGTGTTTAATTCAGTTTTGTTCAAATCTCACAGAAACAAAACTTAAAACCACATCACTAATTTACATAAACTAAGTGAAGATAAAACTCCAGCTCTTGTGTCGCTGATGTGGTTCAACTTGTGTTGGATTAAAAGACATGACTCAGGTGAATACAGGTCAGTGTGACCAGATTTGTGTTTGTCAAAACCAGGACAGCGTACGGGGGGAGGGGGGCGGGGCCTCGTCATCCACATTGAGCGACTCTCACCTGGAAAAACTTTTTCCCACTGGACACAGAAACATATGTGCTGCTTTATCCACTGTGCACATGGACTCACACTTGTCCCAACGCAACGGAAAGTGTGGAATTTCTTCTACAAATCCTGGTTAAATCCACATTTGTGCTTCGGTTCGTTACAGACTGACCCACTGTTTGTGTGTCGCTCCTTCTGATGCAGAGACACATGTACACACCTGTTTGGTCACGACACACACACATACATTCAGTTTGTACATTAAAATGAATGGAATCCATCAAATTCTTAATGATCATGTATCGATTAATCGACTAATCACGCCCATCCCTCGTTTGAATCCATAGATTCTCCGTGTTCTCAAAGACGTCTGATCCGTGTCGTGTGCGCAGCCTCGCCTCATTACCCCTGCCGTCGACGCCTGCTCCAGCGGCCGACATTTTGGGTCGATACAGATCCGGTTAGACCGATCCGGTTAGTGACATCATAATCTTGTTAGCGTCTGTTAGCAGTCATGTTTTTATCCCTGATGAACGAAGGACATGAGAGGGATATTTTTAAAGCCGTGGACGGAAGATAATTAGTGCCATTAGATTTTGAATTTCAAATGTCGCTGGATTTTTCACTTTGAATTTTTTAACTCTGAAGAAAGATGTTTAGTTGCTGAAATGTTAAGTGTATTTTTTTCAAATTCAGAATAAAAATGTCACCTTTTAATATTCAGCACAGGTATTTTCAAATCCTCAAATTCAACAATCAAAATTCAGAGTGTAAAATTTCACAGTAAAAGTCCGAGACGCCGAGGCAGAAGAAGAAGAATCAACCCTGTGTGAGTGACGAGGATAGAGGCTGTTTCCTATTGGCCGTTCTCATGTGTGGGCGGGGTTTGAGGTTCTGATTAGGCAAATTCTGACCAATCAGATTGCTTCGCTGCACCATTTCCATCACTCTGGATCGATTGCTTCTGCCTTGGTCCTGGTTCATGGTCCTGGTCTGGTTCATGGTCCTGGTCTGGTTTTTGGTTCTGGTCTGCGGCTCCGGTCCTCCGGGTCACGGTTCCGGTCCTCTGGGTCGTGGTTCCGGGTCATGTCTCCGGTCCTCCGGGTCGTGGTTCCGGTCCTCCGGTCGTGGCTCCGGTCCTCCGGGTCGTGGTTCTGGTCCTCCAGGTCGTGGCTCCAGGCCGTGGCTCCGGTCCTCCGGGTCGTGTGGATAATCACACGTTGGGTCATTGCTGAGTTCTGGTGTTTCATTCTCTTTCTGTTTCTCCATCTGCGGCTCGAGGCACAAAGACCAAGTGTGATCACGATTTTACACAAACGTCCCTCAGAACATCAAGAAACACAGAGCCTCAAAATATGTTCATGTGAAAAACAAGTGCACGAAAAACGACAAGAAGAGGAGAGGAACAGAAGAACAGAGGAAGAGAAGAACAGAGGAAGAGAGGAGGAGCTGAACAGAAGAACAGAGGAAGAGAGGAAGAGAAGAACAGAAGAACAGAGGAAGAGAAGAGAAGAACAGAAGAACAGAGGAGAACAGAACAGAAGAACAGAGGAAGAGAGGAAGAGAAGAACAGAGGAACAGAGGAAGAGAGGAAGAGAAGAACAGAGAAAGAGAAGAACAGAGGAAGAGAGAGAACAGAAGAACAGAAGAACAGAGGAAGAGAGGAAGAGAAGAACAGAGGAAGAGAGGACAGAGAAGAACAGAAGAACAGAGGAAGAGAGGAAGAGAAGAACAGAAGAACAGAGGAACAGAAGAACAGAGGAAGAGAAGAACAGAGGAGCAGAAGAACAGAGGAAGAGAGGAAGAGAAGAACAGAAGAACAGAAGAACAGAGGAAGAGAAGAACAGAGGAAGAGAAGAACAGAGGAAGAGAAGAACAGAGGAGAGAAGAACAGAGGAGCAGAAGAACAGAGGAAGAGAGGAGGAGCAGAAGGAGCTGAATCCAAGAATCTCATTCATTTCAGAACATGATTGAACAAAATAACACCCTGTGGAGAGACAGGGAGGACCTGACACACACCGGGAGGGACCTGACACACACCGGGAGGGACCTGACACACACGGGACACACGGGAGGGACCTGACACACACGGGAGGGACCTGACACACACGGGAGGGACCTGACACACACCGGGAGGGACCTGACACACACCGGGAGGGACCTGACACACACCGGGAGGGACCTGACACACACGGGAGGGACCTGACACACACGGGAGGGACCTGACTCACACGGGGAGGGATCTGACACACACCGGGAGGGACCTGACACACACCGGGAGGGACCTGACACACACCGGGAGGGACCTGACACACACCGGGAGGGACCTGACACACACCGGGAGGGACCTGACACACACCGGGAGGGACCTGACACACACGGGAGGACCTGACACACACGGGAGGGACCTGACACACACGGGAGGGACCTGACACACACGGGAGGGACCTGACACACACCGGGAGGGACCTGACACACACCGGGAGGGACCTGACACACACGGGAGGACCTGACACACCGGGAGGGACCTGACACACACGGGAGGGACCTGACACACACCGGGAGGGACCTGACACACACGGGAGGGACCTGACACACACCGGGAGGGACCTGACACACACGGGAGGGACCTGACACACACCGAGAGGGACCTGACACACACGGGTTGTTGAGGGTTTAATAGTTGGATGAATCTCCAGTTTTCTGTGTGAACAGGATCATGTGAGCGTCGGGTCCACGGAGCGGCGAGGAACAGTTGGTCATTCTGTCGTGACACGCTCTCTCTCTTTTCACCCTCTCTCTCTCTCTCTCTCTCTCTCTCTCTCTCTCTCTCTCTCTCACTCTCTCACTCATGTTCCCTCCCCCACACTCCTCCCTCTCTCCACTTGGTCTCTTCTCTCTCTCTCTCTTTCACCCCTCCTCCCTCCTTCACACTCTCTCTCCTCCTCCTCCTCCTCCTCCTCGTCGTCTCTCTCTCTCTCTCTCTCCTCCTCGTCTCTCTCTCTCGTCGTCTCTCTCTCCTCCTCCTCGTCTCTCTCCTCTCGTCGTCTCTCTCTCTCTCTCCTCCTCGTCTCTCTCTCGTCGTCTCTCTCTCTCTCTCTCTCTCCTCCTCGTCTCTCTCTCTCGTCGTCTCTCTCTCCTCCTCCTCGTCTCTCTCCTCCTCTCCTCCTACTCCTCCTCCTCGTCGTCGTCTCTCTCTCTCCTCGTCGTCTCTCTCTCCTCGTCGTCTCTCTCTCCTCCTCGTCTCTCTCTCCTCTCGTCTCTCTCTCTCCTCGCTCCTCCTCGTCTCCTCTCCTCCTCCTCCTCTCTCTCTCCTCCTCCTCTCTCTCCTCCTCCTCCTCCTCTCTCTCTCCTCTCTCCTCGTCGTCTCTCTCTCTCCTCGTCGTCTCTCTCTCTCTCCTCTCGTCTCTCTCTCCTCCTCCTCCTCCTCGTCCTCCTCGTCTCTCCTCCTCGTCTCTCTCTCCTCCTCGTCTCTCTCGTCTCTCTCTCCTCCTCGTCGTCTCTCTCTCTCTCCTCGTCTCTCTCTCTCCTCCTCGTCTCTCTCTCCTCCTCGTCTCTCTCTCTCTCTCGTCTCTCTCTCTCTCGTCTCTCTCTCCTCCTCGTCTCCTCTCTCTCTCCTCGTCTCTCTCTCCTCCTCGTCGTCTCTCTCTCCTCGTCGTCTCTCTCTCTCTCTCTCTCTCCTCGTCTCTCCTCCTCGTCTCTCTCTCTCTCCTCGTCTCTCTCTCTCCTCGTCTCTCTCTCTCCTCTCTCCTCTCTCGTCTCTCTCTCTCTCTCTCTCTCTCTCTCTCCTCGTCTCTCTCTCTCCTCGTCGTCTCTCTCTCCTCCTCGTCGTCTCTCTCTCTCTCTCTCTCTCTCGTCGTCTCTCTCTCTCTCTCTCTCTCCTCTCGTCTCTCTCTCTCCTCTCTCTCTCCCTCGCTCTCTCTCTCCTCTCCTCTCTCTCTCCTCCTCCTCTCTCTCTCTCTCGTCGTCTCTCTCTCTCCTCTCGTCTCTCTCTCTCCTCGTCTCTCTCTCTCTCCTCCTCCTCGTCTCTCTCCTCCTCGTCTCTCTCTCTCCTCCTCGTCTCTCTCTCCTCCTCGTCTCTCTCTCTCCTCCTCGTCTCTCTCTCCTCGTCGTCTCTCTCTCCTCCTCGTCTCTCTCTCCTCGTCGTCTCTCTCTCTCCTCCTCGTCTCTCTCTCTCCTCCTCGTCTCCTCTCTCTCTCTCCTCCTCGTCTCTCTCTCCTCCTCGTCTCTCTCTCCTCCTCGTCTCTCTCTCCTCGTCGTCTCTCTCTCCTTGTCGTCTCTCTCTCCTCCCACGCTCCAGGGTTTCCCAGCTCCTCGATTCAAGAGGTGAATAATTATTACCACCATCAAAACAGCCGTTTGAATTGTTGCAATTACAGAACTGAATGCCCCCCCCCCCCCGTGTGTGTGTGTCAGGTCCCCCCCCCCCCGTGTGTGTGTCAGGTCCCCCCCCCCCCCCGTGTGTGTGTCCGGCCCCCCCCCTGTGTGTGTGTCAGGTCCCCCCCCCGTGTGTGTGTCCGGCCCCCCCCTGTGTGTGTGTCAGGTCCCCCCCCCCCGTGTGTGTGTCCGGTCCCCCCCCCCCCCGTGTGTGTGTCCGGTCCCCCCCGTGTGTGTGTCAGGTCCCTCCCTGTGTGTGTCAGGTCCCTCCCCGTGTGTGTCAGGTCCCTCGGTGTGTGTCAGGTCCCTCCCGTGTGTGTCAGGTCCTCCGGTGTGTGTCAGGTCCCTCCGGTGTGTGTCAGGTCCCTCCTCGTGTGTGTCAGGTCCCTCCCCGTGTGTGTCAGGTCCCTCTGGTGTGTTTCAGGTCCCTCCGGTGTGTGTCAGGTCCCTCCCCGTGTGTGTCAGGTCCCTCCGGTGTGTGTCAGGTCCTCCCGGTGTGTGTCAGGGTCCCTCCCCGTGTGTGTCAGGTCCCTCCCCGTGTGTGTCAGGTCCCTCCGGTGTGTGTCAGGTCCCTCCCCGTGTGTGTCAGGTCCCTCCCCGTGTGTGTCAGGTCCCTCCGGGTGTGGTCAGGTCCAGTCCCCGTGTGTGTCAGGTCCCTCCCGTGTGTGTCAGGTCCCTCCCGGTGTGTGTCAGGTCCCTCCGGTGTGTGTCAGGTCCCTCCCCGTGTGTGTCAGGTCCCTCCCCGTGTGTGTCAGGTCCCTCCGGTGTGTGTCAGGTCCCTCCCTGTGTGTATTTTAACTTTAAACCTTTACACACTTGTTCTGTTTTAGATTTTTGGCAGGATGTTCTGTTTGGGCTTAAGGTTTTTAAAAATGTTGGGGCGCCCCCTAGTGACCAGTGGCTGAAAAGAGGAAAGGTTGTATCCCACCTTCCTTTTATCTTAAATTGTTATATAATGACACTTTTTCTACTCGACTTGACAAAAGGAATGTGATTTTAACACGATCTTCCTATTTTAAAGGCATTTTCAAGCCAGATGTTTTGTCCTGGTCAAGAACGAACCACATCTGTGAAATGAAATAACATCGTGTATAAAATCTAACTCACATTGGGCCAAAACTAAAAACTGGGACTAAGTTGTGGGCCAAACTAAATATTTATTGACAAATTTCAACAAGTTTTCTCTTCTTTTGAAATATATAATGTTAAACCTTTTCTTATTAAAATCAATGTTTAATAATAGTTTTGCTTAAACATTGAATTCAGAACAAGCAAAATATAAAATTAGTGCTGTCATGCGATTAAAAAAATTGAGAGATTAATTAATTATGAACTGTAATTAATTAATCTAATTAATCTCATTTTAATCTCACCTAAAAATTGCTGAGAAAAGCTTCAATTTGAGGTATTTTCATTTAAATTCATTATTACATTATTGTGGCAGATCAAAACACTGATATAGATTTAAAAAAGTGACTTTATAAAGTCATTTATTGTTTAACAAATCTCTCCAAATTGTCTGTTGAGCCCAAGTCTCCATGAGTAAGAAACTGTTTGCTGTAAAGTAGCAAAGACGAGGAAATCTGAACATAATAACTTTTGTCAACTTAAAGACAATAAAAAGTCCAGTCTTTCCTTAACCATATTAAAAATATTATTAATAGAGAAATGTTTTATATATGAGATCACTGGTTTTAGTCCTTGTTTTAGTCCTGGTTTAGACCTACTTTAGTCCTAGTTTAGTCCTGGTGTTAGTTCTGGTTTAGTCTTGGTTTAGACCTGGTTTTAGTTCTGGTTTTAGTTCTGGTTTAGTCCTGGTTTAGACCTGGTTTAGTCCTGGACTGGATTAGTCCTGGTTTTAGTCTTGGTGTTAGTTCTGGTTTAGAGGTTCACAGGAGGAAGCGCGGTTTAACGTCGCGTAGGGAGAAAACACGATCCACACGCGGCTCACGGGAGCAGGTCTGTGTCCACGCAGTAACTACGGAAGGAAACGTGGTCCACGCGTTCTGGGTTAATGACGATGATGAAGGTGTGTGTTTGTGTGTGTTTGTTTGTGTTTGTGTGTTTTTGTGTGTTTGTGTGTGTTTGTGTGCGTGTCCCCTCATGTGGCAGGTCACTATAGGACAGTAGTGCAGACATCATGAGTTTATGCAGGTTGTTTTCACCAGTGACATTTAAGTTGTAGGCGATATTATATTTGTTATTTTTTTTTATATTTCACGTCGGGAGAATAATTTCCAAGACACAAATGTGTTTTTCCCTGTGAACTGCTTCTGTTCTACTGCCTCTATGACCTCGTCCACTGTGCGACTGACGCCGCCAACGTTAACATGACGTTTACATCGCTCTTACTGCGCACGTTTTGTGTGGGTTTCCGGCAATGAGTGGAATTACCGAAATAAAAAAATGTATAAATGTGTTTTTTTGTGTGTGTGTGTGTGTGTGTGTTGTTGTCCCAACAACACATAAAAACAGGTTTTATAATAAAGCAACTCGCATACAGAAACACTAAAGTTAGAGATTAAAAATGAGATTAACGCGATTAAAAAACATAACGCGCTAAATATGACTGTAATTAATTAATCGCAATTAACGCGATAATTTGACACCCCTATATAAAATAACATGTTAAATAAATAATGTCTCTATAGTTGATCTGTAGCCGGCAGGAAGCTCTAATACAGATTTGATATGATCTCGTGGGCCCAGTTTGGTCCCCGGGCCTGAGTTTGTCATGTCTGGTATAAAATGTTCATCCTTCAAGAAAAATGTTGAACATGTTACTGTTTTACAAAAGCCTTTAAGAAACTGGTTACTTCTGAAATCAATCAAATGAGGTGCAAAAATGGTTTCATTTCTGTTTGTTTGTGGTGGTGATTGTGGTGTGGGGGCATGTGTAACGTCGGGAAGTGGGCGGAGCCTTGCACAGAATCTCACAGCTCAACAGAACCAGGGTTTGAATAGATCCTGGGAGAGATGCTCGATTAAAGGGACAGTTCAGAGTTTTGGACATAGAGCGTCATTTCCTTGTGATCCAGAGTGTTGGAGACGTGTGGAGACACTTTTTGAAATATTCCATCCATTTCTTGTACAGTTGAGTTTCATTGTTGACAAAAGCGTGCGTTGCATGCTGGGAATTATTTTGGTCGGCGGCAAGAAACACTAATTGAACATGACGGACGGAGCGAGAAAGCACGTAAAGGGTATTGATCCCGGTTATTTCTCCACTCTAACGGCAGACGACCCAAGAACATTTGACCAGAAATTGGTCATAAACATCGACGGACGACAAATCTATGGAGTAAGAAGCTGTCACAAAAATATTTGTGCGCATAAAATAGAAATCCGTGCATATTTGGCTGTAGTTGCGCATAAAATAAATATTTGTAAATTCTCAAATGAGTCCAGTCGTACATAAAATATATTGTGTGTATTTTATCCATCAGAATATGAATTGAAAAATTACGACATCATGAATTGCAATCACGAAATTAAAATTTACGATTACACTTTCATCAGTACGAATACGAATTCACAGACGGAACTTTATTGTCAAAAATACGTCATCACTTCACAGACATTATCCATCGAGCAGAAGAAACATCGATCAAGATCAAGACTGAGCAGCTCAAGTTTGTATCAGAATAAAAACAGAGGAATGACACAAGAAGCTACAACAGACCAACAAGTTAATTAAAATCTATTGTAAAAATGTCTTGAATTCAGGAACCGAACGCTGCTGTATAATATTGTGTAGAAACACCTCCTCTGAACGGGAAACTGCACCTATATGTTAGAAAACATAGTGGAGCCAGTTGGAAACATCAGACGTAACGTTATCCCAGGGATCATTAACAAATATCAGGTTCTCTGTGTGTTTAGATTAAAACATTCACGGCTGCAGCCACAGCGAACATCAGCCAGTCTTCACTTCAGCTGCATTTCTCGCATGAAATGCCACCAAAAGTTCCTCTTTACGCTGAAATGTCCCAGTTTACACCAAACACCACTGTCCTGGTTACGACGTCACAGCCAATGAAATGTTACACATTACACTTTAATGCAGCTTCCAGCTCAATTAATGTTGGTGTTTACAGGCAACACCTTGGTATGTTTACAGTATTTACCGGTAAGTTAAAACGTCACCGTAACATGGATGGATTTGCTAATTATAACCCATTATAACTCATGTATAACCCATTATAACTCATGTATAACCCATTATAACTCATGTATAACCCATTATAACTCATGTATAACCCATTATAACTCATGTATAACCCATTATAACTCATGTATAACCCTGTAGCCGTGAATGTTTTAATCTAAACATACAGAGAACCTGATATTTGCTAATGATCCCTGGGAGAACGTTACGTCTGATGTTTCCAACTGGCTCCACTATGTTTTCTAACATATAGGTGCAAGTTTCCCGTTCAGAGGAGGTGTTTCTACACAATATTATACAGCAGCGTTCGGTTCCTGAATTCAAGACATTTTTACAATAGATTTTAATTAACTTGTTGGTCTGTTGTAGCTTCTTGTGTCATTCCTCTGTTTTTACTCTGATACAAACTTGAGCTGCTCAGTCTTGATCTTGATCGATGTTTCTTCTGCTCGATGGATAATGTCTGTGAAGTGATGACGTATTT